AGGCCCAGCATCAGGCTCCACACTCAGTGGGGAATCTGCTTGAGAATTCTCTCTCTCTCTATCTCTCTCTCTCTCAAATAAATTAATTAATTAAAAAGAAAAAAAGAAGAAATCTCTCTGTCCTTCAGTACCTTTCACCTTTCAAACCTTCCAGGAGGAAAGGTTGCTTCTTAACAGACTTTAGAATCAGTCACTCTCTCTCCCTCTCTTAATTTTTAGAATTGGTTGCCACTCAATAAACAGTCTCTGTGCCCCTCAAAAAAAAAAAAAATTTTTTTTAGCATCAGTTACTCTCTTTCCTTCTCTTAATTTTTCAGTTCACAAAGCATACTTCATCAATGTATGGTTATATACTTATATATAAATTAAATCAGTAACAGATAAAGGGATCTTTCCTATCTAAAAAAATGATTTATTCTCATAAAAATTGTGCTTTCTCAATATAGATAATCTGAGGGAAAAAAACAGAAGAAAGAACAGTCACCCATAGTGTTATTCCCCCACACACCACCAGCAAGCATCTTGGTATCTTTCCTTCCAAACAGTTTTTTAGGCATTTGTCATATAGTGACAATCATGTGATCCTTCTTAGTATAATATGAGCATTTTTCTGTATTGCTGATTATTTTCTGTAACCAGAAGTTTTAATTTGTTTTACTTTACATGATAGGCATGCCTTATTATATACTTAGCCGTCATCTTCTTGTTAAACAATTAGCAAGTTTTCTAACTTTCAAATTATAAATAACATGTCATAGGACCTCTTTATGTGTCATTTTTCAAAAAGTGTCTCTTTAGCACAGATTCACAAAGAACAGGCCCATTTTTAAGGTTGTATATATATATATATATATATAATATTGTCAAATTGGTTTATGAAAAGGTTATACACTAATTCCTGGTCTTCTATCAGCAATAGATGAGAATAGGCATTTCAGGGGACCTCCGTCACTATTGGGCAGACTTCCTTTTGAAATTTTGTTAATTGAGAGGTGAAAGTCTCTCATTAATCAACATTGTGTTTCTTTGATTACTACTGAAGGTAACATTTTCCCGTAAGTTTCACAAGTCCTTTTTCCTTTCTTTGAACTGCCAATTAACATGCTTTCCCATTTACCTAATCTTAGGGTTTTTTTTATCTATATAAATTCCTTACATATTAAAATATGAACCTGAGAGAATTGAAAGCATATGTCCACACAAAAACTTATGCATGAATGTTCATAGCCTCATTATTCATACAGCCAGGAAATGGCAACAATCCAAATGTCGATCAACTGATGATTGGTAAACAAGTGGTGTGTCCATACAACGGAATATTTTCAGCCATAAAAAGGAATGAAGTACTGATTCATGCTACAAAATGAATGAACCTTGCAAACCATGTGCCAAGTGAAAGAAGCCAGTCACAGAAGGCTACATATTATATGATTGCGTTCATATGAAATGTCCAAATAGGCAAATCCGTAAAGACATAAAACTCCTGGTTGTCAGGTGTAAGTCTGAGAAGGGAATGAGAAGTAACTGCTGAATGAGTACAGGTTCCTTTTGGGGGTAATGAAAATGTCCTAGGATTAGATAGTGACAGTGGTTTCCTTTGTATATTAAATGTACATATTACATATATAATGTATTTATATATATAATGTATATATGTAATATGTGTATAAAAAATATAAAACCACTGAACTGTAAACTTTAAGAGGGTGAATTTTATGGTATGTGAATTATGTATTGATAAAAATAAAAGTTTAAACTAGTAACCACTAAGGAACTTTTTTCCCTTCCCAAAAGGGGTGAGAGAAGGCCTGAAAAACTTTATAATCTGTGCTCTAATTCTTTCTGAACCCTTTGGCATAGACAGTTAAAACATATCCTTATTTTTTATCACCATTTCCCTCTTGTTTTAACCCTGAGATCTGAAGTGAAGTGAGTGTAAGAAGAAAATGTTCTTTGCTCCTTTTGGAGCCTTTCCATGGTTTGGTGTTAAAACCTCATTTGGCCATTTGGGTTTGGGAATGGTTCCAGCTCTTTGTTGACTGCAGTGTTAAATCTCACCATCAGGGTCTAATGCTTCCATTTCTTTCTTTATTAAGTACATTTGACTCTCCGGGCATCAGGGAATGGAAGGTTTTAGAGAAGGGAAAGGAGAACATGCTGCAGGGAGTGAGCCAGTGCTTCTCGGCATGGGGGGTGATTTGAACAAGACAAACCAGGGTGGTAGCCAAAAAATCTAGGTGCCAGGAATGTGGTTTTTTTCTTAAAGTGATGTGACATTTGTGAGAGTGATTTATATGAGTTCGGGTCCTTTGCTGTGCGGTATGGAACGAGATTCATCGTCCTCACCCTCCAGAGGACCTTGCAGAGTCACGCACAAATGATCATCCAACACCACCTCTTGTTATTTCCGAAGCAAAGCTTTGATTTGATTTTTAAGTAGGCTCCGTTCTCCCACTCTTACATGTGGCTGGTGTCTGCACTGTAGGTGTTCCTGGGTCTACATTAGTCTTATCACCTCAAAGATGTGACATTTTATTGCTTGGGTGGGGGGAGGGTGCTCTCCCTCATGGGACTCCACCAAGAGTAGAAATCTGTTATTTTGTGCTTGGAGGAGGCATTGCTTGTGTTCTGTTTATACAGTAAATATGTTCCAGAAAGTTTTGCCTGTATAGCAAATCATGTTTTAAATGCAGTCCACATGCTCATTTATACCAAGGAAACCAGTGCTCACTCCTTTGTGGTGTATATAAACACTCACCACAGGCGCCTGGTGGCTCCGTTGTTGGGCATCTGCCTTCGGCTCAGGTCGGGATCCCGGGGTCCTGGGATCGAGCCCCGCATCGGGCTCCCTGCTTAGTGGGGAGCCTGCTACTCCTTTACCCTCACCCCACTTGTGCTCTCTCTCTCTCCCCCCCTCCCTCTCACATAGGTAAATTAAATAAATAAACAAACAAACACTCACCACATCTAGGAAATATCAGGAAACTAAGGGGAGCTTCAGTGTCATTGGTTCAAACGCTCATTAAGACCCTACACCACATGAAGGAAGCCGGTGACTCACCACGCCTGGCATGGTCCCAGCACCCTTACAGAGCCCACAGTCTTGGGGCAGGGTGTGAATGTGGGGGAGTGAGGCCCAGTCCCTAATGTCAGGGCCCCCATTAGTCATGCACAGGAAGCAGAGCTCTGGGGCACTAGGGAGCCATCCCCACAGGCCCCTCTGACCACACACCCACACCCTTACATGGACTGGCCAGGAGTCCATGGGGCAGGAAGCAACTCTGGTCTATAGGCTCCATGTGCCAGCCATGGAATCAGTCTGTCTGGCTTCACCACCCCTGACGGAGCTGTGGAAAAGTCTCAAACCTCTCTGCTCTTCTGTTGTCAAATGAGGGGAAAGCATCATACTTCTGTCTGAGGACTGTTATTAAGAATCGAGTGAGATAGGATGTTCCAGTACATAGCATGGTGCCCGGCTTGCAGTGAGCCCTCATTTGATACTGGTCATCACTACCAAGATCGGAGCCTTCACCTCAGTGGTGCCCATTCCACCAAAATAGGTATTCATTTTCTCTTGCTCTGTAACCAGTTACTACAAACGAAGCAGCTTAAACAGCCCCTGTTTATTAGCACACAGTTCTGAGCATCTGGGCATGGTGTGGCTGAGCTCTCTGCTCCCAAGGCTGCATTGGCCAACAGCATTCTCATCTGAAGCCTTGACCAGGGAAGAATCCATTTCCAAGTTCTTGGCCCACTTCAGGTCCTTGTGGTTATAGGACTGAGGTCCCCATTTCTTTGCTTTCTGCCAGCTGGGGGCTGTGCTCAGTTCCTAAAGGCCACATAGCCCCCTCTATCTGCCAAGCCAGCAGTGGAGAACATTTCCCCCCCACCCCTGCCCCAGAATGCCTCTTACACTTGGTATCTACTTCTCCAGAGAGAGCCCAGTCCCTTTCAAGGGCTCACTTGATGAGGTCAGGTCCACCTGGGATAATTTCTCTTTGTTAAAATCAACCATGCCAAATAAAATAGCCTAATCAAGGGAGTGATTTTCCCATCAGTCATGAGTCCTAGAGATGACATAGGGTTTGTCACACCAAGGGCAGGAATCTGGGGCATACCTTGGAGTTCTGCCTACCCTACCACCTTTTCAGCAAGGCACAGATTTTCACTCCTTCCTTCCATTTGGCAGCAAAGAAGCAGAGTCCTCTGTATTCTTTCTTTTTTAGCCATCTGGGACTACTGGCTGGACCCCATATCAATACTGTGGTTCAGGCCTGGAGTATTTACATGCCCACCATCCCATCCCAGCTGTGGCAGGGACTTTGGGGAGTGTCTGCACTTCCAAGATGGTCCAGCGTGGTCCTGCTTTCTCTCCAGCCTCCCCAGTCAGCACTGGCCCTTCTGTCCTGGTGTCCTCAGAAGACAGCACCACCCCTACTCTCTTGTGGGGTGTCAGGACCCAATGTCCTACAAAGAGGAAAGTCCCGTCATAAAGGATTGAAAGTGCTGGGAAATTTGGGTGACAGGTTCTGTGTCCCAACAGCCATTGCTACCAACGTGGCACTCATCTGTCTCTGAACGTCTGGATTCCAGCACTTCTGTGGTGAAAACTAAAGCAAGCCTTTCCTAGACTTTCAAGGGATTTGTTTTCTCGATGGAGAATGTAGCTAGATACCTCCGGTTGATTCTTGTGGGTGTTTCCAATCTGACAAGGACCGAGAACCCCCTGCCATGGCTCTTCTCCCCAGAAGTCAAGTCATTTCTGATGTGTTTCTGCACATCTCACCCTCTTGCCTCATGGTGTTACTGTTGCCCAGAAAAGGGTGGTTGCTCATTAAACCACCGGTTCTTGCCCTGTTCCCAGAGAAGTGTATGAGACTGTGCAGTCGATCTACAATTCAGCTTTAAATTCTTTTTCAACTGTCCCCATCTCAGTTGCTTGTGTTTGGTTTCTAGGTTCCCTTCCTTGTTCCTTTACTTTTATTATGATTTTCACCCAGGTAAAGTGGAGACCAGCTAAAGGGATGGTGAATGGTACCAGCAAGAAACATGCCACATCAGAGGGCAGGCCAGTGTGGCTCGACCTGTCACTCTTCCAAGTCTGCTGTCAGCAGCAAGGATGGGAACTTAGGCCTCAGGGCCCTCACTTCTCCACACCCACCTAGGTTGGTTTCTGAGATAGAAGTGCTCACACTGCTGAAATTAAAATTATTTGTTGTCACTTTCACCTGCCTTCCTCCAGCCATCCCTCCTCTGCCTGCACGTTTATGTGTCTCGGGAGGAGGTAATTTGCTTTTGCAGAAGACTGCCAATGGCCTTTCCCCCTTTTTGGTACCTAGCTCTCTGAAATCTTCTCGGAAGTCCTGCAGCATTATAACCTGAGTGTACGGGTGTTGCTTTACTGAGTGGCGTGCAAGGAAGCGTGAGCTTATCTGTTGTACCTGTGTTTGATGTACACCTAGCAGCTGGACCGTGGTCTGGGGCGTCAGTGGAGGGAATGTATGTTCAGCCAGACTCATTCTGGATAAAAGCAGCCTAGGCCCAGAATCGGGGATAGTGTCCATCTTTTATGTCAGCTTCAGTTGATCACTCGAGGGCTTATGTGAAGAAGGATTCTGAGGCCACGCATGGCACAGCACCAGACAGTGCAGGTGTGGCAGTCCTCGGATTCCCTCTTTGACAACTCTTCCCTGAGTGGTTTAACGCTGTTGGCACACATAAGATCCACAGGACTAAGGAAATTTCATGTAAATCAGGTTTTCCTTGCATAACAGAAAGAGCCCTTTGGTTTCGCCAAAGGACTGAAGAACGGGGGGGCTTCGTGGCTGTAATCCAGACACCTTGACCACAGTCACAGGATCTTATTGGTCAAAGTGCTTGTCCATCAGTTTTTCTAGGCACAACAACAAGCAGAGAAGGATGGCCATGAGTTCCTGGTGTAGGATTTATTTGTCAGAGTAATTCCAAGGTCCCACTTTTGGAACGGCATTATTCCTTGTTTCCCAGTGCCCCACAGATCTCTGGCAAGTATATTAGTACATTATATGTTCATAATGGACCTACAGCATTGGCCATAAACGCCACACCACAGAACCGTATGTAATAAAGGATGTTTTTATTTTAACTCGAATGCTCAGAAGTTTGTCTCATGGCAAGGAGCCTGAAGTCATGTTGGGTACAGCTCACAGAGCGGCTTCTGAATCTTCCGTCGGGAAATGGTTAGTCTGACCACCGCAAGTGGGAGGAAGAAGACCACAAGTTCTTACACAAATATTTTCATTGTGATTAACTTTTAATGTCTTGAGCCTGCATTGACTGATTTATTTCGGGCTCATAATGTTTGTCAACGAAGGGAAGAGAGTAAGCAAACCTGTGCAGAAACATTTCTTACTCTAAACTGCAAATGTATGCAGTGGTAACAGAGCTGTCCCTTCTACAAAAGAAAACTGTTTTTCTTTCTCCATTTCTCCAAAATGATTTTGACTGAGTTTTGGGTTTTTGCATTGTAATCATTTAACAAATATTTATTGAGCTCCTACAGCATACAGCACTGTTCTAGACCCTCAGGATGCGATACTAAAACAAAACCAAAAAATAAGCTGCCTTCAAGGAGATTACTGTTTGTTTCCTTTCATTATTTCATAGGTCTATATATGGTGTTGGTTGTTTATTCCAGTGGTAATGCTTTTTCTTGGTGCATTGTGAAAGATGAGTTAGATATAAGGTCCTGTTTTCAGTGGGGTTCTGATGTGTCATTTCTGTTTTGCTGGAGTTGAAAGAGTAGTTTGTAATGAGCGTTCTCATTGGTTTTGATTCTTTTCTCTATCACAAGGAACAATCTTCTAGGGAAGAATCAGCATTTCATACCAATTTTTAAAATTGTGCCCTTCTACCCAGCCTGCCTGTTCTCCTAAGAAAGGCATTGTGAATTGCATGTTGATCACACATATAAGGGAAACAGCTGTTATATACTGTTTCGAAGATATGGATATAAATTCTTTCTCCTCCATAAATCAGGATTTCTCAGCCTCGATGCTACTAACATTTGGGGCCAATTAATTCTTTGCTGTTGGAGGCTGTCCTATGTTGTAGAATGTTTAGCAGCATCCTTGGCCTCTACCGACTAGGTACCAGTAGTACCTCTTATCCCTGAGTTGTAGCAACCAAAAGTATCTCCAGACATTGCCTATTATGCCCCTCGGTGGGGGTGAGAGGAATAAAGTCAACCCCAGCTGAGAATCGCTGATGTAAATGATGTGATACTGTGATTCAGGTCTCACATCTTCTAATTACAGTAGATCAGTGCAATGCCTGAAAAAAGTGCCTGGGACAAGAACTGTCTTCTGTCTGGCCTTTGTGGGAGCTCAAAGCAACTTTCTGCCGTGAAGGAGTTAATATAAAGTAAGCAAGGTACTTATCAATCCTATGAAGCAATACCAACAACAAATGATGAAATTCCTTCAATAAATCATGCCTTGGACATAGTTTGCATTTCCTATTGGAAATTTTTTAAATTGGCATTCATCTACCATAAGTTAGAGAGCATGTTGGACCCAGTATACTGTAAGTTAATCTCGAATGATTTACGCGGAAATGTGTTCCAGATTGGGTGATCTCAGCTCAAGCAGTAGGCGGCTCGTTTCCCAACATTTCCATTCTCAGGAGCTGACATTGAATTCCATGAGTATTTATTGAAATGTGTAATGTAAGAGGACATTAGAGCAGTCTGATGCTGCTTTCATGTCCTTTTTCCCCAGAAAAGCAGTGCTTAGAGCAGTGCCCCCCGCCAAGAGTCTCCGTATCTGATGTGGCATTCCCCACTTTGGATTGCAAGATACTAAGAAAAACTAGTTCTTTCTTTCTTCTTCACTACTTCAAGTCCCTTCCATTCCTGTACCAGCTTTGCCCTCTCCATTGAACACATGTAATTACACATGGTGTCGTGTGTTTCTTATTTGATCCTTTGGTTCCATATGGGCCACTTTTCAGAGTTTTGGAAGCGGCATCCATTGCATGTTCTACCTATCCCCATCAACCTGACAGAGTATTACAGTCCAAAGTACCATCATTTAACTGAATTAACCTTGTATTTCTGAATCCTCTTTCTTTCTCACACATACCAATAGATTAAAAAACACAGGGTCAACTGCAAATGTAAGTCGCTGAGAGAAAGGCTGGTCTTGGATGCAGAGACAAAGGGTGAAAGAGAAACATACTGGGCTAGAGAATCTTCACTCATTTGATTGCTTTCTATCAAGCACCTGCTGTGTGCCAGGCATTGGCATTATAGCTCTGACAAAAGTGGACAGGGCCATGTTTTCCTGGAACCCGCAGTCCACTGGGCAATGAGATAAATGGACAAACCATGTTTTAATATGGCACAATAGGTGCCATGATGGGAGAAATCAGGATGCCATGGGAGCACTTAGAAGGAACATCCCCCCAGCCTTGGAAGGCGGGTACGGGGATCAGAGAAGGCTTTGCAGAGGAAACAGTGTCTTACCTGGAACATGAAGAATATGTTGCACATCAGGAAAAAAATGTTCAAGGCCACATTCCAAGACCTAAAGCAAAGCAGAAAAAATTGAACCTTTAAATAACTGGGAAGTTCGGCATGTTTGGATAGTAGAGTGTGAGATGGGGAGAGTGAGAAGTAAAAAGGAAGCAAATGAGGTTGCTTCTCAGGGTTCTGACTTGAGCAAGTCAGTCATGGATGGTGGCATTTCTCCGATAAGCACAGGAGAAGTGGGTTGGAGGAGGGTGGGGTGACAGTGACCTGAGTTTTTAGTCCACCACTAACTCTAGAACATGAGATTGATTTTTTTTTATATTTTTGAAAGATGTCAAAAGCTAATGGAAATTTGGAAAGTTAATTAGCAGCTGAAAATGATTTTTTACTGTAGGCTATCATGACATCCTACAAATATACCCAGACCTCTTAGTTTCTACCAATTTTATTTTATTTTTTAATTTTTTTTTAGAGGGGGCAAGAGGCAGAGGGAGAGAGAGAGAGAGAGAATCTGAAGCAGGCTCCACACCCAGCCCAACATGGGGCTCAGTCTCTCAACCCTGAGATCATTACCTCAGCCAAAAGCAAGAGTCAGACGTTTAACCAACTGAGCCATCCAGGTGCCCCTAATTTTATTTTTCATCCAGCAATGATTTCTTAATTTTGATACTTATTGTCATCTTACTGCTTAAAATTTACCAGGTGTGGGTGCCTGGGTGGTTCAGTTGGTTGGGCGACTGCCTTCGGCTCAGGTCATGATGCTGGAGTCCGGGGATCGAGTCCCACATCGGGTTCCCTGCTCAGCAGGGAGTCTGCTTCTCCCTCTGACCCTCTTCCCTCTTGTGCTCTCTGTCTCTCATTCTCTCCCTCTCAAATAAATAAATAAAATCTTTAAAAAAAAAAAAATTTACCAGGTGTGTGCCTGAAGAATGGGTACCCATGAGAAAATAAGTATGGTGAGCTGTTCAGTAGCTGTCTTCTGGCTTTTCCAGCATTCCTCCACCCTCTTGCTTACATTTTTTTTTTTTTTTGCCATAATGGAGGTTTTTGTTCTAATATTGCATGGACTCACTTCCTAGAGCATACATTATTCTTTTAGATGACTAAAGAAAAGCATAATAAGTAGTCTTGGGCTATCTTTAAGCACGTGTGTAATGTTCGAGGATTTTAAGGGGCAGCATGTGAGGACCTTGCTGCCTGGCGACCATACGCTCTGTGGCTCCTGTCACCCAGAGCACACGGGGAACGAATGTGATTGTCAAGGGCCGTGAGATCGCTTCTAACCATCAGCCCTAGCCACTGCTTTTCCTCCTTCCCTTTTAGGCCTGAAATAGCCAAGGGCGAGCCTTATAAATGACCCAGCAACCCAGCAGCTAAGGAGCATGCAAGTTCACGTGCCTCCCTTTTGTTTTCGGCAGGAATTTAGATAATGGGCTGTGTGCAATGTAAGGATAAAGAAGCAACAAAACTGACGGAGGAGAGGGACGGCAGCCTGACCCAGAGCTCCGGGTACCGCTATGGCACAGACCCCACCCCGCAGCACTACCCCAGCTTCGGCGTGACCTCCATCCCCAACTACAACAACTTCCACGCGGCCGGGGGCCAAGGACTCACCGTCTTTGGGGGTGTGAACTCTTCATCACATACCGGGACCTTGCGTACCAGGGGAGGAACGGGTAAGAATTGGGCTGTTCTTCATTCTTTTGTCAATTGAACATTTGTGTTCCAGTCGGCTCCCTTTAACTAAGGATTTAACATTAAGTTTTTCATCATCAGTCTCCATCTACCCACTGCCACATGAAGGGCTATTAAAACAAAACAAACAGGGCTTGATGGACAAATGAAATGCTGGCTACAGTGGTGCTAGGTGATCCCCAAGTAGCTGCTCTGGGAGGATTCTGCATGGGTTAGGAGGTAACAGCTTCTCCTGAGGTACTCTAGGCCAATCAGTGGTCTCAACCTTGGCTGGCTGACTCAGAATAACTAGCAGCTTTTTCAAAATACTGAATCCCATCCCAGATCTTTTGAATCAGAAGCTCCGGGACTGGATCTGAGAATGTATGTTTTGAGTCCTCTAGATATCAGTGCACTTTCCTCCCATCCCCCAGTTAAGAGCCACTTTGCAGGGGGTAGCACCTTCTCCCTCATCTTCCTAATCATCAGCCTGCCTGTCACCTCCCAGTCAGTGAGGACATTTGGCAGCATTTGTTTTGGGCCATTCATCTTCATTAATTCTTTCTGATCTTCCCATTATCTTCCATATGACGGAGTTTATCAATCCTCAAGTGTATCGTTTATCTCTTGTATTTTAAAATCAAATGTTATGGGGCGTCTGGGTGGCTCAGTTGGTTAAGCGACTGCCTTTGGCTCAGGTCATGATCCTGGAGTCCCGGGATCGCGTCCCGCATCGGGCTCCCTGCTCAGCGGGGAGTCTGCTTCTCCCTCTGACCCTTCCCCCCCCATGTACTCTCTCTATCTCATTCTCGCTCTCAAATAAATAAATAAATAAAATATTTTTTAAAAAATCAAATCAAATGTTATGTATCCTTAAGGAATCCTTCTCTTTTTTTTTTAAGTTTCCTTCTCTTTCCCACCACGAGGCTCTGTTTTACTGCCATGTACATTTGCTGACTTAGCTAATACTTTGTAAAATATCTGGCATACATTCTCAGACATATGTTTTGCAAAATATTTGAAAGTTATCTCATGCATCCTTAGCCTTCCAAATCATCTCCCAGCATGTGAATCATGGTAACTAGATATTTGACATTATTTGTTGCAAGACTGCTTTGTTTATTAGGAAAGTTTAAAGAAATATACATCAACCTTTGTGCTCTTGGCTCATCTGGGAGCAGAAGTCTTATATAAGGACCCACTGTGCCTTTTTACCTGGGGAGCTGGCACTACTGAGACATTAGCAGGGTTTTTTTTCCCTTTGCCTGCAACACGGCAGTGTAGTTATATCCAGGGGACCTGACCCAGAGCTTTGGGCATTGTATCATTGTGTTGTAGTGGAGCCAACTTTCTCTTTAAAGTAGGCCTCGCATGAGCTCATAAATGTTAGTATACTTTCCTATCTTCCTGGAAGGCACCTGGGATGGAGGGAAGAAGGAAAGAGGCATTCTATGGAAGTCTGTCTCTGAGGATGCAGAAGGGGGAAAAAAGAGCCAAAAACGCACCAGCACACACTTCCCGTGCCTGCTGAGTTCTTTGCCAACCAGACTGAATTCTGCTGACGCAGACATTGACCTTGTTCATTCATTCATGAATGCTGGATACGAATCCCTGTGTCTGCAGGTATCATTCATAAAGTCACCAGAAAGGAATACTTGCCTTGAACATGGGAGTCTCTACTGTAGTCAAGGACAATCTTTTTTTTTTTTACATTTTTTTTTTATTTTATTATGTTATGTTCATCACCATACATTACATCATTAGTTTTGATGTAGAGTTCCATGATTCATTGTCAGGGACAATCTTAGTATAAGAGGCTTCCTGGTCCCTTTTAAAATTTGGAAGTTAAAACCTAGTACTCCCAAATGTTGGCAGATTTCTCTGCCTTGTATTATTCGGCTTTGTTATATGTGCATGTCTGTCTCTCCACCACTGCTTTTAGTGCTTTAAGGCCAAGAGCAGTGTCCGTGTGCCCCTGTGACCTCCTTTGACTCTCCTCTCCATCCGTAAAAGGTAAACAGCCCAGGGAGACATTGCCGGCTGACGCGGGGTGAGAGTGGGGACTGGAAGTGCCCGTTCTCGCGCTCCTTGTCTCCCACACAGTGGAGCTTGGGCTTGTCTTCAAATTATGTAACAAAAGGAATCTGTAAATAGAGTGTTCAGTGAGAATAAGCATGACCTTACAGGCTTCCACTTCTTTGTTTTAAGCCAGTCTCTTTTCCAACCTTTCAAAGAAATTTAAAGTTGCCAAATGAGCCCTGCTGCTTTGCATGGTCAGACGTCAGAACGCCAGTTCTCCTACAGGAAGTCCCACTTGGGATCGGGTGGAAAAACAAGCCCCACCTCCTTCTCTGGTTTGTGAATAGCCCCACAGGCCCATCTGCTCCCTTGGAAGTACGGACACAGCAAAATGGCAGTTTGCTAAAGAGTGGAATCCATGTTGTGTGTTCTTTAGGCCACAGCAGGGACTTTGAAGTGTGCGGAGATCAAAATGAGGAGCCAGAGAGCAGAGAAATGGAATGTATTTTAGTTAACGATTGCTGCATAACATATTACTGCAAACTTAGCAGCTTTAAAAAAATACATATTTAGGATCTCACAGTTCCTGGGGGCCAGAAAACCGGGAATGACTTAACTGGATCCCCCATTTCAGAGCCTCTCACTGGCTGCAATCAAGGTGTGTTGGCCGGGCTGTAGTCACTACCTCACAGCCCAACTGAGAAGGATCTGCTACCAAGCTCGTTGTGGTGCTGGCAGGACTCAGTTTCCCCATTGGCTGTTGGCCAGAGGCCACCCTCAGTTCTTTGTCATGTGTGTCTTTCCAACAAGGCAGCTTGCTTCATCAAAGTGTTCAGGCCAAAGTGGCAGTACAGAGCGTCTGCAGGGAAGACAGAAGTCGTAATCCATTTTGAAGACTAATCACTTATGGGACATCCCATCACCTTTGCCATGTCCTGTTGGTTAGAAGCAAGTCACTAGGTTCACCCACACTCAGGGGAGGGGGATTACACAAGAGCATGAATACCAGGAGGTAGGACTCATAGAGGACTACCTTAGAATTCTACCCACTATATGAAGGAGGTCCTGAGCCAAATGGGATGCTGGAGATTTTCTGTTGTCAATAGCAGACTTGTGCAGAGCAGGAAGGGCCTCTGTGGGGAGTCCACCAGATGAGAAAATGCAGGGTGGTTATGAGGAGTAAGGACTACAGATCAATGCAAGGATAGGCAAATTTGTGGTAGGAGAGACAGAGTCCCCAGAGCAATTGCAGATGCCAAAAGCAAGACATCCTCTAATTGGGGTGAGCATTTATGGAGAGGGTCTTCTCAGTCCCAGGCTGCAGAAGGAGTTTCCTGTTACATTCTCCATTACTGTGATCTGTTTTACCCTGAACCTAACTTGGGCTCTTGAGAGGAAGGGAATTTGTATCTTTAATTGCTGCAGGCCTCACAGATCTGAACTGTAGCACCACTGCTGCCCCTTGGTTGTGGACATGATATTAACATCTGCCTCTTCCTGAGGGCTCAGAGAGAAATGCACTTCCAGCTCTAGGCTTCAGTCAGATCAAATAACGCTTCCCCTACAAAGACCAAGGCATAACTTCAGCCCTGCAACCCTGGTTTCACACATTAATTACATCACCACCACACCATGTTATGATTAGATGTAGATTTTGAGAATGAGATTTTAGTGAAGATCTCATTTCTTGGAATTAATTTCCCCTTGTGTAATAATCTCTCCCCTTCTGATTTTGTTTTGTCAGGAGTGACCCTGTTTGTAGCCCTTTATGATTATGAAGCACGGACAGAAGATGACCTGAGTTTTCACAAAGGAGAGAAATTCCAAATATTGAACAGCTCGTAAGTTCAGGGAGGGACGGGGAAGTATGCATATCTTTCAGATTGGGAAAGAATACTTGTGTTACCAGCCTGTGCCTTTTTAGTCTCTGAAATGCTAAGAGAACACTTGGTAAATTCATTAGCGTGTAGCAGTTGAACTTCAGAAATGAAGAGTTGATGAGCCAGTGCAGTATTTTCTGGCACCCATGTCCAAGGAGCTTTTGGGGGACCGTCATAGTAGCAGAGTTGATGCTTTCGGTTTACAGGTTGGAAAAGTTCCAGTATTGCCCCCTGCAGATCTGCATTTTCAGATGATTGGCACAAAGCTTGGCTATCCACCTTACCCTCTCTCTGCCTTGAGGTGGGTTTTTTTGTTTTGTTGCTTTTCCTAAGTTGCACTAGCTGAGCCCTCATTTACAGCTGGCAACAAGTTCCTTCTGTTTTCAAAACTGCTAAATACTCTGATTGGTGAAGCTTGTGGAGGCGTTTCCCCAGAGTGAAAATCCGCGAGTGACTGAAATCTTTGTGAGGGAGAAGGAAGGAGAAGGGACTTCGCCCACTTGTGAATGACTACAGTGCGTGCATTTTAGATGTGACCAGTAGGAACAACAGTTAAATAGGCAATGGGGAAGTTTCAAGGGTCAGAATCACTCATTGTAAGGATAGAATCAAATTCTACATTTAATACCTATAAGAAGAGTAAATATAGGTATATATGGCATTATGTATAGGCGTATTTCCCTGTAGTTTTTAAATATTGCCTCTATTAGGTTAAGGCAGTGTGCCTGCCCAAAAACTTCTGGCTTCAAAGAAAATGGTGGTGGGGCTTAGTCAGTAGAGCATGAGTCTCTTGATCTTGAGGCCGTGAGTTCGAGCCCCACATTGAGTGTAGAGTTTACTTAAAAAAAAAAAAAAAAAAGGAGGGGCACCTGGGTGGCTCAGTCAGTTAAGCACCCGACTCTTGATTTTGGCTCAGGTCATGATCTCAGGGTCGTAAGATGGAGCCCATGTAGGGCTCTGTGCTGGGCATGGAGCCTGGTTAAGATTCTCTCTCTCCCTCTGCCCTTCTCCCCCCGCCAAAAAAAAGAAAGAAAAAGAAAATGGTGATGCCCCCATCTGCAAGTCAGGCCTTCTCCCCTGTACCTCAAGTTTTCCTTGTGAGTGCTCCGCAGGGACCAGGGAGGAATGCCACCCCAAGGCTGAGGGCCCACCAGGAAGTTCTCCTATGCTGCCGGCCCCACTTGCTCTGTACTCCATTCCCTGAGCAAACCATGAGGGCAGAAGGACCAGTCAAAGCCTGGCTCTTGAGCTTTCCTCAGAGCTCCAGCAGGAGGAGAGGCAAGCGAGGGGAGCTAGAGGCGCCCCAGGGCATCCCCATCCTAGAAAAGAGAATTGGTCATTGTTAACAGGAAACTCCCTCAGGCCTGAAAACTGCCTCCTTAGAAAGCCCACCCCTTCCCTGGGACACCCCCAACTCTCAGAATACACCACCTTTCGAGGACAGGAGCTAGATTCCTCCCACAAGAGGCCAGTCACTCTTCTGGATCTCAGAAAACTGTCTACATAGTAGCCACAGGGTTGTTGGGGTTTTTAAAATTATTATTGTCATCATGAATGGGTATGGGTGGGGTTTTTTTTTTAACTATTTAAATACCTGCAGAAAATCGCACATATCAGAATGTGCGTGGTGGTGGTCGCGCAACAACGTGAATGAGCTTAGTGCTGCCCAACTTTACACTTAAAAATGGTTGAAATGGTAAATTTTGCTATGTGTGTTTTACCACAATGTTTTGGAAGTGTACAGTTTGCTGTATTTGCACAAACTGAACATGCCTGTGTAACCAGCTCCCAGATCAAGAACGTGGCCTGCCCCTACAAGGCCCCTCACAGCCACAGAGATTTTTTTAAAGTAGTAAACAGCTGCCATCTATTGAAGGCTCCCGTGTGCCAGCCACATACTAAGTTGCAAGTGTTCTTATTTATTCTTCATGGCATTTGTCTGCCTTGTGCCTCACTGTCATCTTTTGACATATGAGGAGCCAGAGGCTCAAGTTAGGGAGCTACCCAGGTGCACAGAGGAGCTAGCAGGCGGCAGAGCCAAGGGTGAGGTTGTGGGGATGGCATCCTGAGTACTGTGTCGGGTTTGGTCTCGGAAAGGCCCAGAAGGGACTGAACCTTGTAAAATACATGAAAGTTTGGAAGGTTGGCTGGGAGGTGGGGGAGAAGGGAATTTGGCTTTGATCTCTTCTGATTTATGATTGTTTATTGTTATTTTGATTCTCTGATGAATGCTTCTCCTCAGAGTCTACTTGTTTTGAATTCTGAAATACCCTCCACTTCCCCTCCCCATTCTGTGTAATATTCTCTCAGTCCCAAAGTCGGTTAGAACTTCTAACCAGCTTCTGAAAGGTGAGAACTAAGGAGTAGTAGGAAGTACCACACAGCTGTTCCTCTGCGGGGTTTGTCCACACTGCAGGGGGATCTACACATCTGATCCTGAGCAACTTGGAAAGCCGGTCCTTGCCAAAGTCAAATTCGTGACTTCTTCCTTTGTTAATATGGATAGATTCTACAATGGCAGTGAATTGAAATTTTGGAGAAACATTCCAGGAAGATCCAGTCTATCTCAGTCGGTATTTTATGATTTGCATGCATGGCCTCTAATATTTACAGGCTTCGAGCCTCTGGCCTTGTTCTCTTCGAAGAAAATATTACGAAGGTTTTTTTCCCTTATTTAATGTTCTTCCTTCTTGCCAGTGGAATTCCTCATCCTACATGCCATTTTAAATGCCCTTTTCCAAGGTTATGGGGGAAAAAATAAGGTTTTTACAACAAATACAGTATCTGGAAGTAAGGGGTAATAACAGGGAAGAGGAAATCATGGACAGACAAAGCAGTAATAGAGAACCAGATGGCCTGTGGCTCCTTCCCCTCCCCCAGCCCCTCCCAGCCCGGGCTCCCCTCCGCTGGGGCGGGGGAGGGGGGGGTTGTTGGGGGGAGGGGAAGGGGATGGCGCTGCTCACCCTGGGGCAGCTGCTGCACCATCTAGTGCATGTGTCCTCCCACCCCTTACCCTGTCCAGAGGCAGAAACCGGTGGTGGCAGGGCTGGCCTTTGTGTGGTACACGCGTGTGCTTGTGCCTAGAGCCAGTGGGCACTGCTGCCCAGCATGGGCTAAGGGTTCTTCACCGACCTGTTACGAGTGCTCAGTGTAGTGCATTTGGACATTATGAAACTTGAACCCATTTTACAAACTATGGAAATTCATCTATTTTATTCCCTATTTTCACGTGAAATAGGAAATCCTTAGTGATTTACCACCTAAAAACACTGACTCTTTAAAATATAATAACCATGTTACACAGAGTAGAATAGTGCCTACAGTAGTGACTCCTTTAAAGTTCTTTTCCTCTTGATAAGGAGAAATGCTAGGTTAGACTCCCATCTATGCATATGATAAAATTGTTATGGATATGCTCTCAAACAGTAAGATGGCAGTAACCAAACTGAGAAAGAATATAGCATTTATAATAAAACTCCACAGCTCAACGGATCAGGCTGACTTCTGTGTGCAAATGCCACTTCCTGGCTGGATCAGGGGCCAACAAACCCAATGAGCAATTTTGGGGATTGAGAACAGGCTCTTTCAATAAGTATTTAAATTAGAGGAATAGGGGAAGCTCTTAAAAAAACTTAAAAGTTATTCTAAACCAGAACCTTAAATCATATATTTGAGAACTATAAATCATATAAGCAAGACAACAGTTAAAGAAAATCTCACCAACACTGAATTAATGAAATATCTGAACTGTAAGAACAGGTTTTTTTAAGGTGCAGTTTTAATAATGTTAATTACTCACAATAATTTAAGAAGTAAAAAGTAGCATAGTAAAGATTGTTTTCCTAAATCAAGGTGAATGATTTGTAAAGAATATTATTTGTGGGTGAATTGGACTTCTAATGTATTAAAAAGATGATTTATTCATTTGCTCAAAAGATTTTTTTTGAGGGATGTTTTGAGTCTGTACCAGCCTCTCTGGACCCAACCTGTGAGGCTTACTACATAATACATTGTTTCCTTGTCACCTCATATCGCCTTTGATGGAAAAAGTGACCCTGGGTGGCCTCAAAAAAGAAAAGGATTTTATCTTTCTCATGAGTAACTAAAAACCCTTGTGAGATTAATGGAGTCACTTAAGAGAAAATCGTGAATTCCTGATACATGACTTTAGAATGAGCTGATAGTTGGATTCTAATCTGTGCTAAACTATTTAGGTGCCAATATCAAAATGAGATATTAATACTGGATTTGGAATGGAAATTGTTGTTGACCCTTGAACAATGGACAGGTTAGGGGCACCAGCTCCCCCCACTGCATATAACCTTGACTCCCCAAAAACTTCTAATAGCCTACTGTTGACTGGAAGCCTTACCAATAATGTAAACAGTCAACACATATTTCATATATGTATTATATATACTGTGTTCTTAGAATAAAGTGAGCTAGAGAAAAGAAAATGTTATTAAAATCCTAAGGAAGAGAGTACATGTACTGTACTGTTTTTATGGGAAAAGATCTGCATATAAGTGGACCCATGCAGTTCAAACCCATGTTCAAGGGTCAACCATACTTGATTAATCCCAGATCATCTGACGGGGCACCTGGGTGGCTCAGTCATTAAGCGTCTGCCTATTGCTCAGGTCATGATCCCAGGGTCCTGGGATTGAGCCCTGCATCTGGCTTCCTGCTCTGTGGAAAGCCTGCTTCTCCCTCTCCCACTCCCCCTGCTTGTGTTCCCTCTCTGGCTGTCTCTCTATCAAATAAATAAAATCTTCAAAAAAAAAAAAAAATCCCAGATCATCTAAATAAGACTGGGCTTGTCCCAGCCCCAGCAAAGTGTATTGGCTTCCTGCCTCAGGTGACATTTCCATGTACCCCTACATTGATACTAGACAGTCTTCTTAATTTAAATCAGAACTAACATGATGAAGGTTGCAGTTAAAGGTAAGCTTCTGCTGAAAGCTCTTAATTTTTTACTATTTTGGAGCATTTCCTGGGTGTGGGGTTTAGGAGGTGGATGGAGTAAGGGAGAGAGAAAGGAGAAGGTGGGGAGATGATGGGTATTGTTAATTTTTTTATGATGAAATGTCTCCATCTGGTGGAATTTCAGAGCAATAAACACTGCTATCATAAAAGCCTCCAAAGCCATTTCTTAGCATGTGTTCAAAAAAAATTAACTTCCACATGTGTTCCTAGATGATATGGTTAACAACTATATGTATTTCTTTTAGAGGACATGGAAATGAAACCAATACAAACTGCTCAAAGGTTAACAATTTTAATTTCATGAGTTGAGGCCAAAAGGCAGAGGAATCCAATAGGGGAGCCACACAGAGTAGATTCCCCACAATCAGTGAAGACCCAGCTCTTGAGTTGAGTGGTGGGTTCGTAGGTGTTCATATACACATATATCCCCTGGCATGTATCAGTCATTTCCTAAGACAAATCTGGACATAAGCTAAAAATAAGGTTTATTAACAAAGCATTTCCTGGGTATGAAAAGTTATCTCTCTGTTTTGGTTGATTTATCTGTTTAAATTTGTGTAATAGAGTGAAAAAAGAAAGACTGAAAAATGAATTAAAACATAAGTTTTTAGGGGCACCTGGGTGGTGTAGTTGTTTAAGTGTCTAGTTCTTGGTTTCGACTCAGGTCCTGATCTCAGGGTTGTAGGATGGAGCCCTGCATCACAGACTCTGCTTAAGCTTCTCTCTCTCCCTCTGCCCCTCCCCGCCTCTAAAATAAATAAATCTTAAAAAAAAAAAAAAGACATAAGTTTTTAAAAGCCTTTGCCAGCACCCCATTTTTTCGTGGGCTATTTTGTGTCACCTGTGCCGCCAAGCTCTGCCCCATAGCCACACCCAGAGTACGTGCGGGCTTGTCACCATTTGCCTGTTGTTTTATTAAATTTTATCTACAATTGCTGCTCATCGGTCAGCTTGCTCAGAGAGTTGGTCTTTGGAGAATGGGGCTCTCGAGTAAGGCTTCTGTTAATACAGAGGCTGATTATTCTCTACCTAATCCCATCAGCCGGAGGAAGATCTTGACCAGGGCCAAAAGCCAACACGTTTTCTTCCCTGGCTGAGGGTTTTGACACAGAGCCCAGCCACAAAATGATTTAAAAAAAAAAAAAAAAAAAAAAAAAGGCTAGGGGTTTTTCTTGCTGCCTCCAAGGACCAGAAAATGGAAGGAGAGAAGGCGCTGGGCCCCTGCTGAAGAGCAGTCTGACAGGTCTCGGTATGCTCAGGAGCATTGACCTCGCCTCCTCCCCTGCCCTTACACCCCTGGCCTCAGGCTGGTGCAGGGTTCTGTGGATGCGCGCGTGGTAGGGCTGCAGCCCCACGTATGTGTGTGGGGAGAGTCACACATTCCGTCCCTGCTCTCTGTCACACGTCCACTGCCGTGAGCCTAACACACAAACTCTAGCCATTGAACTGACCCGTTTGTCCTGAGCTGCGAGTGGTGGTACAAGCCCCCGTTTCACATCCTTCTGTCTGCGGTTCTGAGAGCCCGCCCCCCTCTCCCTACTGAGACAGGATATTATCACCTGGAACACTGGGTCTCACAGAGTGGTGAGACTCAGAGCCTCAGTGCCAGGCCAGTTTTTGTCCCCACCTGCACCCCCCCCCCACCTGTACACACACAGCTGTACCCGCCCTTCCTCTCCTGCCCACCAGACTCAGGTCAGTGCTGTCAGTAGTCGATGAAATAACCTCAGGTTGAAAACTTCTGAATGAGGCTTAACCTGTTGTCCTTATCATGCTACCCATTGTCTTGAGAGCAAGTAAGGCAGGTATTAGGAGTAGGCTTTCATTCCTTCCTGGGCCTCCTAGCAGGCTTCCTTTCTCAGATGATCTGCAGATGATCTGTTTTTCTTTTCTTTTCTGATACATCTGTTTAATGGCTAACAAAAAACACTAGAACCAGCAAACAGTTTGCATCTCTCCAGCAATACCACAGGATGCTGCTTACCTCGATGTGAGCCGAAAGAGAGATTTAGCTAAATTAGTAGTGTTAATGCATGCTTTGTTTTTCTTCTAGCTTTGCTGAGATATAACGGACACATAACATTGTGTAGGTTGTGATGGGTTGTGTACAGTGTGTATGGTGTACAGTGTGTACAATGTGTATGGTGTACAATGTGCACAATGTGATGGGTTGACACACGTATATATTGTGAATGTTTACCACAATAACACATCCTTCACCTCACATAACCACCATTTTGTTTTTGTGGTCACAGGGTTTTTCTAAAGTAGCCTGAGGCTGGGTTCCCTTCCCCCTCTGTCCAAGTTGGGGACACTTACCAAGCAAAATGCCCCTCCACCCCAAGAGAGCTCTCTCATGGCCAGGGTCCTACGTTATTAATTTGCAAATAAAATAAGAAATGAGAGACAGCATGGGATTCAAGTCACAGTTGACTCAGATTGTAGCCATGTGACCCTTAGAAAGGGCTCTGTTGGAGTTTGGAGAAATCAGGCAGTGGAATGACTAGGAGATGGTCTTTTACTCATACAGCATTGAGTCTAACTGCAGAACATTGAAATGGTCAACACATTCACTTCCTTTTCTCTTTGTTCTCTGCAGGGAAGGAGATTGGTGGGAAGCCCGCTCCTTAACAACCGGAGAGACTGGTTACATTCCCAGCAATTATGTGGCTCCAGTTGACTCTATCCAGGCAGAAGAGTATGTTTTGTTTTGTTGCTTTCACTCAACTACTTGCCTTTAAAAGTTAGCTGTCACAATAAAATGCCATTAACTTTGTGCTGGAGGGAGAAGAAATTCACTAGAGTGATTTCAGGGTTGAGAGAATGTGGTGATGCCCTGTTTCCCCAGGCATCGTGCTGTGGTTTTTGCCATATCTATGTAACACTTGTACTATTATTAACTTAATATTTTTCTTTACACCTGCTTTTTAAAAACATACTTATTTCAAAAGGGAACTTGATATCAGAACCCTAGTGAAAACCCAGTATTACTTGCCATAGATAGAAACAAATCAGGAAAATGTGATGAAGTTCTGGCCAGAGCATGTATTATTACTGTGAACCCAAAGTTCTAAGCCTATAGTCTGCTGAAAAAAAAAAGGAGAGAGGGAGGGAGAAAGAATGGGAGTAGGGAGGGAAAGAGAATGGTGGGAGGGGGCCAGGGGGGCAAATAATTATTAAACATCAGCTTGACATTTTCTTTCTCAGTGTAATCAGAAATATTAAGGGGGTACTGAAGACATACCTTCCATGCCCCACATAGAAGTATCTCACATACAGCATGTTCCACAACTCGGGAAATCCTCTGATGATGCATTTCAGATGCTCCTTTCCTTTGAGTTGGGGTCTTCGTTGGTTTCTTTGTTGGACCAAGGATTTCACTTGGGACCAGTTTGGGAAGATGGTCAGTAGGCTGAGGGGATTCTAGAAGGGACAGCTATCATTGCTTCTCCTCACCTGGGGAGATTCATGGGCACTTCCAAAAGGGAGAACTATCAGAGTGGTTTGTGTGAGGGCCCTCATTTCTGAACTAAGGGAAAGAAAACTGGCCCATGACTCCCAAACTTGGGGACCTGTCCTCCTCCCTGACACCCTGGGGAATCTGCCTGTTCTGGTAGTCTTGCCTTACCAGTAAGGGAGTCAAGGAAAGTCAGACACGAGGCCCAACCTTTGGCTCTGATATTGCATTTTGCCCTGGATTTGTTTGAGCATGGTAAGGGGGATTAGACTGCACACCCCAGCCAAATCCCCAACTGGATCACCATCTTGCTTTAAATTCCTTTATATTTGCTCTAAGACGATCGTTTTTGTTCCCCACTCTCAAATACTCAGTGGTTCTGCACTCCTTTTTTTTCCTAGTGAGTGTGTTTTATCATCAGAGAATAAAGGAATTTGTATTAAATTTTTATTTTAGGGCAGATTTTCAAACATCTTTGTGTTCTTTCAGAATAAAAGATACCACTAAAATGTGGCATTATTTTTATTTAACTGGGAACCTACGAACTATATATTTAAGTTATATATATGTATAATGTAATGAATTTTTTAAATAATTTGTTTTCAAAGAATAAATTAGCGTTTTAAGAAGATAATGCATATGGTGTTACATAGGTAATTAATTACCATTATCTGAAAATGCTATTGTTTTAGTTCCATCCATTGTTCTAACAGCTCTTTTTTCACCACTGTTCACATTTATACTGCATTTTCATTGGGTGACCGATGCAAACCCAGAAAGTCATTTCTCATAAATAATTGTTGTGATTCTCTTTCTACCACCTAGTGCTAAATTAGGATCTTTACACAGTCCGGTGCCTTTAAAAGTCACTGAGGAGCTCGCTTGCAGCGTATCTTTTCTTATCTTCAGTGAGCCTCTTTCATTCACAAAAGAATTTGACAGTGAACACATAATAGCTATGTTCAAGTATAATGAATTAAAATTTCACTTTAGAAACTGAATCCTTTCACAGTTGAATATTCTAAAATTGTTTCTGGGCACAGATTCCGATGGGGTGCTCCTGAATTCTGCCTTGGATTCAGCACCTCGTGCAGAGACGTTAGCTAATTGCCGGGCCATGGTTAGGGCTGGAGAGTGGAAGGGAAGGGAAAAGATAAATAGCAGAGGTTGTGAGGTGACTGGATGTGATGCCTTCTCACATGGGACCAGAGTGTCGTCACAAGGAGGATAGGAAACATCTGCAATGCCAGTCATTTGTAAAGACGTGCTCGTTGACTGCGCCTAGTGACCTGTCCCTGCAGCTGTGCCGAGCGCACATGCGCAGATGCCCACCCATCTGCTACGCCAGCGCCTTTCATTTACCCACGTCCTCACACCTGCTGGCCAGGAAGAGCATGGAAGCAAGCATCCAAGGGCAGGAGTCATCTCAATTCGGGGTAGTCTTGACAATTTTTTTCAAAGTTGTCATAGGTACAAAGTTACTGAAAATATGTCTTTGTTCTTTATCCATACTGACTCTTTTTTTTTAATGCTTGATTAATGATCTTTATGTAGACTAAGGCTATGTTTCATTATTTCTGAGCATAATTATGCTCAGAAATGCCAGGGTCTTGTAGATGGGCGTGGGAAGGGTCTCCTGCAGTTGCCATTTCAAAGCAGGGTCTTAGATTTCTCTTTTTGTGAATGCAGGTGGCAGTTTTAACACAAACCGGTTCTTGTCACCTCTGGAAGGGAAGGGAAATCGCCCACAACTCAAATCTGATTTTTGTTTCTTCAAAGAGTGAAAGAGATGGAGTAGGGATGGAATCAGGGGCAGACTGAAAGGGAACTAGATGAGGCTAGGAAGACACATACAGGGAAAGGCTACGGATGCGATCAGGGGTGAGGAGGATGGCTATTACATTTTTGTAAGTGATCCTTACAAAATGCTTCCTTCCCTTGATCTCATTTAAAGGTGGTACTTTGGAAAACTTGGCCGAAAAGATGCTGAGCGACAGCTTTTGTCCTTTGGAAACCCGAGAGGTACCTTTCTTATCCGTGAAAGTGAAACCACCAAAGGTAAGATAAGGAGTTAAAGAACTTGGTTGTCATTCAGATCTGTGGATTAGTCAGAGGGGATGAAAGGCTTATCTGTAATGTACAAGGATTTTTAAATGGCACATATCCTCCCCACCTTGTGAGCAGAGTCCTATTTTCAGTTTTCCCTCCAGGCTCTGGAGTCCGAAAGGACTACAGAGGCTCAGAATCAAGCCTTCCTCTGGAAACGGGGGCCGGGCAGCTTCATTCCTGCAGGCATGCACGATCATAGAATTTGCAGCAGTTCTTTAGAATTAGGACTTTCTACAACTTTTAGTTGCTCAGGCACCACTCCTACAGGTTGTTTTTGCATTCCTTTTGTTTTATTGAAACTGAGGACCGCTTTTCCTCCAGCCACTGGCCTTTCATTATTTAACCACATCTGAGAGCCCATAAGAGAAGCTGGACTGAGGGAAGGGAGCAGCCGTGGCCTTCTAGCTCCATCTACCAGACATGGTGATCTGCTCCCGAGACAATGTTGCCAAGTAGAAACTGGAGGCTCCCTTCTAGAGAAACAGTCCTTACACTTGTTTCACACACACTGCCACTGCCCCTGCAACACTCCATGGCCAGGAAGCTGAGGAGAGCGACCCCAGCGCCTGTGTTTCTCTTCATCCACCCCCAGAGGAGTTGGGTCTATTACCGTATTGGGCAACACGGGGGTACTGAAGAGAGTATGGTAGGAAAAAACCCAGGAGGCTTTCATTCTCAAGGATAAAATCACTTAATTGCTAATATCTTCTGACATTTGCAAGAAAGAGGTGTTTTCTTCTGTTACTGAGTGGAAGTGTGTGTGTGCGCATGTGTGTGCACGCAGGTGCGTGCATGTGTGCCTGTGCGTCCTCTTCATAATTATTCATCAAGTAAACGGGACCCAAAAAACAAATGAGCTCTCCAAATGATTGGAGCTGCTAACGCTTTGCCTATTTACCAGGTGCCTATTCACTGTCAATCCGAGATTGGGATGATATGAAAGGAGACCACGTCAAACATTATAAAATTCGCAAACTTGACAATGGTGGATACTATATTACCACCCGGGCCCAGTTTGAAACACTTCAGCAGCTTGTACAACATTACTCAGGTAACCCTAATTCTAACTAACTACTAACCAGTGGTACCCTGGAGGGAATGGGTAGGCACTGGGAGCATGGGGGGGGTGGGAGGGCTGCAGGGGGGGGGGGCGGGGGGGGGGGGGGTGCAGAATACAAGCATATATGAGGTCAGGAGTGACAGTTTTCTTTGCCAGCCACACAAGGTGGGGCTTGGCTGAATAGATTCTATTGATGTCTTTCTACCAGAGTTATTATTAGTTCCATACATTTGCCAGAAGATCTCGCTGTGTCTCTCTCTGTTAAATAAATAAATAAAATCTTTAAAAAAAAGACTCTATACAACATTCTAGTTCCCAAGTACAAAGCAGTAAGTTAAATTGTAAACGTTGTCATCTTTTCCTGTTCCCCTGGGGTCTGTAATCAGAAACCGTGACAGGAGAGGGAGCAGTGTCTGGGAGGGAGCTCACAGGGGGGCTCCTGCTGGGGGCCCCCAGTTCACACTCAGCACTCAACAGGAATGGCTGCACATACTTTTCATTCCCATGACCAGATGAATTTTGCAATCCATTTATCATGTTCTACTTCCCCACCCATCTAGTTTCCTAACTAGATGTAGACTATGTGACCCAGAGCTCCTAGCTCGGTTACGCTATTGTATTAAACTTAGAAACAGTCAGTAGATCAGTCTCTGTCCTAACCCCCAATGTCACTGTTAGTGTGTTGTTCCTAGAAATACATACTTATTAGGTGTTTAGGTGCACAGTCTGTACATTTTAGTTAAGGATGTGGTCTTATATACAGGTGTCAAAATGATCACTTTCTTTCCAAGATTAGCAAGAGTATCCCACTATATAACATATACACACAGGTGGATTTTTATATAGATACATATGTACAGATATAGATCTATGTCCCATTAAACCCAGTAGTTTTTTTGTGATCTGTATATGTGTGTGTACACATATATACACACATATACATATATATATGCATCCCCACATACACACATTTTATATTGTTCTTCAGGACAATAACAAAACCCCAAAATAGCACATGACTTGACCTCAACTATTGCTCTATGTACATTCATTTAAAAAAAATGTGTGTATAATTTTTTAGAACCAAAAAAAGCAATCTTTTGAAAATGGCAATCTTTTAAGAAATGCCTATCGATTGATCCTGGGCACTAATGAAAAAGTGAAAAAATTAACAACACTTGGAGTACTCGTTGATTAGGGCATTGGGTAGTTTTAGTTTATGTGGATTCTAATGAAATATTTAGTAGAAATGAAGCAGACTATCTCCCTGAGCTTAAGCAACATCCTCGAAATGCCTGCATGTGTAAGGATTTTTCAAATGCCGAAATATATTTCATTACAGCCAAACATCAGCAGGATCCCCAGGGTTTGGATCATTTGAAAATATTGTGTTGGAAAAGGGCACCTTAATAACATCGTAAAGCTGGAAGGAGAGGAGGGATATGAAGAGCAATAGACTTCTTTTAATCTTAAAAAAAAAAAAAATCCATCTCAAGTTAGATTTGTTTTTATATTGGCTTTTGCTCTTCCCTCTTTCTCTCTCCCACCCAACAAAGTGCCTTTGAAATATTGACACATAAATAATTTCCTGCCTAAACATCTCAGAACGGACTCTACCAAAAAGAAAGGAGTAAAAAGTAACTTAGAACTGGTTCCCAGAGAAAAGACAACAACACTACATGTGATTTCCCTGGATCTGAAGGGCCCCCAGTGGGGTGCGGTGGGGCGGGGCTCTGTCTACCTCACAAGCCAGGCTCTCTCCAGCCTTTGTCACTGCCCTGATTCCTCATGCTTTGTTACCTTTTCTTACCTGACGGATGTTTCACTTGGCATTCAGGCAATTTCTCCCCCTCACCACTGCTAGATTCTAAAAGGTATATTCTTAAAAAAAAAAGAGAGAGAGAAAGAGAGAAGAAAAAAATTCCAAATAACCCAATAGTGATAACTTTTTTCCTTTGTCTTTTTCATAGTAGATAGAGTGCTTTCACATCCTTGAGTTTCTGCAGATTTCAGTTTCCTTTCTTTCTGCTCTGAAACCAGATTTCTAAATTATACATTGGAGACTGTTATAAAGATTTTTTTTTATGGGAAATATCAAAGAAGCGAGAGTATCTGACCGGTAGAATAGAGTCAGTTAAAATGCCAAAGAAATCCTAGAGAAATGTGACCTCTTTTTCCCCTGCCAGGTATAATCTTCAGTCTTACTAGTTTATAACAGTCTAACATTCTATGGAAAAAAATCCTGTACTGAAATTACAATTTTAAATATATTTAAAGCAAAGAAAGTCCCTAAACCCTTGATATTAGAGAGGGAGGGGACAGTCGTGCTGACATTCTGTAGTCCAAAGGTACCTTTTGAAATCAGTGGAGGTATTTTAGGGTTCCAGAGACATGATCTTAGCATATTGGGTGGAAAATGTTTTTCTTCCTTAGTATAGAAACCAAAACAGCCATACCTGTACCCGTATATTTGTGTAGCCTATATTATACCTGGAGGCACAGAGCAGTTCACATCTGAAATGTCCTCTGTCCTACCTCCAGTGAACATGTTTCAATGTGTGGTGTCTAATCTTCCAAGATATGTGCAGTTCTCTGCCAATGTAGCACTGTTTTGAGCAACGCTGTGCGCTCGCTGGATTTGTGTGACTATAAGTGTTGTCTCATGTGTTCTGCTTTTCTCTCCCTCTCCTGCTGCTGTCCCCACTCCATCAGAGAGAGCCGCAGGTCTCTGCTGCCGCCTAGTAGTTCCCTGTCATAAAGGGATGCCAAGGCTTACCGATCTGTCTGTCAAAACCAAAGATGTCTGGGAAATCCCTCGAGAATCCCTGCAGTTGATCAAGAGACTGGGAAATGGGCAGTTTGGGGAAGTATGGATGGGTATGCTGAGACTCAATTATTCTATTACTAGCTCTCTCGTTTGGGAAGTCCCAAACATCAAAGATGGAAGGTGAAAAATAAAGACTTTATGACCCGGAAGAAGGTTTAAATTACTAATAGTGGGGAATTATACATTTGATTTGGATTTCAAAACTGGAATTTCCAAAAGAGAGATAGTGGTCAAGATTGGCAGATGGCTCAAATTATGCTATGATAGGAGTTTCAGTTCATAAGCCAGAAAATAGTACAAGGAATGTTGCAGCCTGCACAAATGCCTTGCCTTTCATTTTCAAGTGCAGATGTTTTCCCAGTGAAATCAGTGTCTCCTTAAAGGGGAAGTCACCTTCCATCTTTCCTAGTGCATGCATAATTATGGATTATAAGGACTGTGTTTTCTTTATTAATTCCCTTTCCTGTAGAGAAAGCTGATGGTTTATGTTTTAACTTAACTCTGATTGCATCGAGTTGTACCCCACAAACTTCTGGATTGGCTAAAGATGCTTGGGAAGTTGCACGTGATTCATTGTTTCTGGAGAAGAAGCTGGGTCAGGGGTGTTTCGCTGAAGTGTGGCTTGGTAAGGCAGAGGGCACATTTCATTTTGGCTGCATTTCAAAGCCAATTAAAAAGACAGTTTGGGGCAAAAATACCCACACAGTCATTGGGACCAAGACATTTAACCTGGGTAGCTAGCTAGGCACAGGACATCCAGATTTTGAGAATATGGTGACACTTTGCTGTACCTTTCCATCCTTCTTCATATGGTTAATGAAGGCAGGCTCACACAGAACAAGAAACCAATACAATAAGAATCCGTTGTTTCCTCTTCCTAAGGCCTAGGAAGGTAAGATACTATAGATGGGTTACTATAGGGAAAGACCATGGGATTTTTTGCTCAATGGGCCTGGGTTTGAATCTTTACTAGCTGATTAACATGGGCAAGGGGCTAATTTAACCTCTTTGAGCCTTAGTTCCCTCATCTGTAAAATTGGAATGATGCCTACTTTATAAGATTGAGGATTACATAGGACAATATACTTAGAGTCCCTGTGCATAGTAGATGCTCAGTAGACACTCCTATTTCTCTTAATTTGGTTGTCATGTCGTTGATAAGGCTAACTGCACTGGGCGCCTCCCACTGCTTTTATAACACCCTTTGGGTCAGTTGCAGCTTTGCTTAGAGAAAATCCATGATTTTGGCCCCACCCAAGCACATCTGTCAGTGAGACAGATGTTGGTGCTTATGGAATCCTCCTTCTTTCCTTCTTAGATTCAATTCAAAACAATAAAGAGAGGTACCTGTTGCTATGTATAGCTGTAGGTGTTTAGGGGTGGTCAGCATTAAAAGATTTAACACAGTTAAAGCACTTGGAACAGAGCCTGGCAAGGAATAAGTATTACAAAGACATAGATATAGCAATAAGGTTAGAGATGGACACTCAGACATACACATTTATATGTGCATGTGTAAGCTACTATATAGGAAGTGTATATAAATGTCTTTTATATAAATGGTCTTCCTCTCCCTCATCTGCCCAATTTATAATTGAAGTTGTGGATGCCAAAGATTTTAATTCAATCACTTATACAGTCAGGAAGAATCAGACATTATACAAAAATTTCTTTTCAAACTTTATAGTTATTAACTTTAAATCATTATGCCATATTATTAAGAATCTGTTTCCCACTGAACATAAAACATCATGTTATGGTAGTTCAGGATCAGGATGGAATGCCAGTGAGACTAACTAGGTTGTTATTAGAGAAGAAACTCTATTTAAAATTTGGGGATGCTAACAGCACTTAAATAGCAAAGACCACTTACAGATTGTCAGATTTTTCCATTTACATTTAGTGGTCAGATATTTTATAAAGTTTGAATTAACTCTTCTTTAAGCCACTGTTCTTTCATAACTTAGATTTTTATGGGTTGCATTTTGTAATTATATGAACCATGTCTTAAACAGGATGACAAAAGTTTACAGAATTTTTTAATTCTAAAATCAATTATATTAAATATAAAAATCTTAATTAATTTAAACCAGTTTATTTTCTAAATAAAAAAGGCATAATCTAACTTAGCAGATTTTCCTGTTTCCGTTAGAGTTTTAAGTCAAAGTCATAGGACTAATAATGGAATACACATTGAACCTAGATTTTATTTTTTTCTTAATTTTGGGGCTGTAAGAGATTCAAAAGATAATCCAGTTCCATTCCTATATTTTACAGATGAGGCAACCAGTGATCATAAACCAGGCCTGTCTCTGTACCTACTTGATTTTAACATGTTATGCCTAAATATTTCTGTTCCCTCTTAGCTGCTGTTTAATTTTTTCACTCTTAACTGATAGAAGCTATTGTTCTTGTGGCTGATCATCAGTAAACCTGAGGAATTTTCCTTACCTGGTTGAAGTATGGGGCAAGTAGACCGTGAGCTTCTTGCCAGTGCTCATCAGCATACTTGTAATCTTACTTATATATCAGCTGTTCAAGGACTCAGTCAAGTAGCCCATCCACTGCAGACTGTTAAAGTCTAGAGGTAATCTCCAGACATCCTCAGTGTGTTGCCATGTTTTTTTTAAATGATGGAACTTAATCGAGTTTCTTCCATGCTGACTCTGCTGCCTAAGGGATAGCTATGGGATGGCCTGGCCTGTTCTAACCTTTGGGCTTTCGTCCTTGTAAAGAAGTATCCAGAGCTTTTGGTACCAATTTGTAATCACATGGGTGAGCCCCAGAAAAGGAAAGTAGCACGTATCAAAATAAAAGTTACAAGAATTATAAACCATAATATAGTGATAAGGAAACACATTTTTCCTATTGAAAATATTTGACAGAGTCCTTACATTTGATTGTCCTTGTTCAACAAAAAAAGATACTAAGTTTTTCTAAGTTAAACTCTAACTTTATGCAAGTAGCTATTGATTTAAAAGCTTTTTTTTTCCCCATCAAAAGAGGATCTTGGATTTGACTTAATATTGTGCGATGTGTGCAGGTACCTGGAATGGAAACACAAAAGTAGCCATAAAGACTCTTAAACCAGGCACAATGTCCCCGGAGTCATTCCTTGAGGAGGCACAGATCATGAAGAAGTTGAAACATGACAAGTTGGTCCAGCTCTACGCGGTGGTGTCTGAGGAGCCTATCTACATTGTCACTGAGTACATGAATAAAGGTTGGGCCCCACCTCACAGTTGACCCACAGGGTTGTTTTCAGGAGGGAAATGGCAGTGCTTGCTTGCTTTTTTCCTGATTTCTGTATGAGTCAGGGATTCCCATCGGGAAGCACAAATTGTGTGCTCATTAATGAGAACATTTTTAAAACAGACCATGACCTTGAGCTTGCTGCCCAGATCCTTATAAAATGTAGCACCTTCTGCACGTTGCATGTGTCAGGAGTCCCAGCTCCTGGCCATAATGAAAGCATTCATTTTTAATATCAGGGGTGGTGTGGAGAGCTATGATCATTTGCTATCACTTCAAATGCCATGGGCTAAATTTCCTTTTTCAGGGCTGAACAGTTAATATCAGACACAGGTCTCTGGGCTCAATTTAGTCTCCATCTTCTCAGCACCTTTGTTTTTCCAGCTCTCTTCTTAAACATCAGACAAAGAAAGACATGCTTTTAAAGAGCACATTTTTTTTTAAGATTGATTTATTTATTTGAGAGAGTGAGAGAGTACAAGTTGGAGGGGCAGAGGGAGAAGGAGAGAGAGTCTCAAACAGACTCCACGCTGAGGGCAGAGCCTGATGCAGGGCTCCACCTCACGAGATCATGACCTGCGCCGAAACCAAGAGTTGGACGCTCTACTGACTGTGCTACCCAGGCTTCCCAAAGAGCACATTTTATTCTCATTCTCTCTCTTTCTAATCAAAGCATTATTGCCAGGAATAAGGCCAGAGATCACTTAGTTTTGGAAAAATAGACAAAGCAAACAAGAAACAACTTTAAAAGGCATCAGAGGACACCAGTGTAATTTTTCCTTTCCACGTACTTTCTTTTTAAATCTATTTGGAATTCTTTTTTTTCCTGGCAGGCTCTTTGTCCTTTGTATCCAGGGTTATATGGTAAATAACTTTGTGATTAAAGCATGAAAGCAATCTCTAATGACCATTGTGAGCCTCCAGCCTCTGCACGTGATTGTTTCAGCTCTGGTGTTGGTCCTGAGCTCCTGAGGCTGGGTTGTCCCAATGACTCTGAAGCCTCAGCTGTTCGTTTCAGGTATCCTTAAGGCCTGGCAGGCCCTGATCTAGCATGCAGAGCTACCTGCCCCACTCTATATTCCTCAGATATTCTTTCCTTGATTGAAAATCTATAAAGAAGCGAGGCCAGTGATTCTCAAACTTTGCCAGGTGTCAGAATCACTCGGGGTTTCTTACATTACAGGTTTCTGGGCCCAGCCTCCAGAGTGTCTGATTCTGATTCTTGGGTAGAACCCAGGAGTTTGCATTTCTAACACATTCCCCAAGGGATGCTATCCCTGCTAGTCCCGGGAACACACTTCCGGAGCCACGCGGCTGGGCAGCATCTTCCCCACGTCACTCCTCCGTTTGGGGCTGCTGGGGGAGGAGGCTGAAGTGGTGCAGCTCCCCACGTGTCCCCACGTGTCCCCACGTGTCCTTCTTTGTGACGTACAGGGAATCGCATCCCATGTTTTGTGATTTAATCAAACCTTTGTTGTCCTTAGAAATGGAGTCACCATTGTTTGTTTCTGAAAGATAAAACTGCTGCCTCTCAATGCACAGTTTTTTCTACCCTCTTTTTTTTTGTATAAATCTTTTCTTCATTGATGGCATTATTCATTCACTCACCTCATTACTTCTAATAAGAAAACCAAATACAGCCCTTTGTGAGGCATTTTTATCTTTCCGAGTAAATTGAAATGGTTTTATGTTTTGTTCACAGGAAGTCTACTTGATTTCTTAAAAGATGGGGAAGGAAGAGCTCTGAAATTACCAAACCTTGTGGATATGGCAGCACAGGTAGGCCACGTGGCCCTTTGACTCCCGCCTGAGGTTTAGCGACGCGTAAGTACACCGAGTCGTGGTGTGCCACGTGTCCTGTTCCTCGGCTCTCACAGGTTGCTGCAGGAATGGCTTACATCGAGCGCATGAATTACATCCACAGGGATCTGCGATCAGCAAACATTCTAGTGGGGAATGGACTTATCTGCAAGATTGCTGACTTTGGATTGGCCAGATTGATCGAGGACAACGAGTACACGGCAAGGCAAGGTGGGCATTTAAATAGGAAGGCTTGTGATCACGTCCTTGAGAGCAGTCGCTCACTGCACAATCCTTCCTCTCTCCTTCCCTTCCCTTCCTCCAGAAAATATTTGAAATGGCATTCTTCGGCTGAGGTTTTTCTTCTTGATCTGGCAGGAATCTGATAGCTCTGCGGGTGGGAGACTCTAGTGGGTTCAACAGATGGGCAAGATGTTGCTTTCTGGTGAGTGAGTGTCCACCATTGTGGTCTTCCTGGCTTATGCTGCCCTCCTCACGTCCAGGCCTGGGACGCTTTGCCTTTGGGGAAAGAGGGCTTTAAAAGGCCAAAAGAGAAGTCAAATAATAGCTCGCCATTCCCTCAAAGTCTCAGCAGAACACACAAACACGCTCATTGGAGAGTTTAATCAAGGAGTTATTTATAAAGGCATGGGCGGAGTGAGGAAAACCAGCACGGCATAGTGTGATATCCTAGAGCTAGTAACAGCCACCCACCGAGGCCAGAAGGGCAGTTGGGGAGGGGCTGCCACCAGAGCTAAGAACAAGAGGCCACATCTGGCAGAGAAAGGCCGGGCATGGATCGGGCGATTCGTACCTGAGCTCAGCCTTTGGGCCTCCTCCAGATGTCCTGCCCAGCCCAGCAGGAAGCCAGAGGTCAGAGGAGCCCACTAATGAGTCCAGCTGGTCAGGAGCCAGGAGGAGAGCAGAAAAGGGATCTAGAAAAAGGATAGAAAATAACAGTGTCACCCGAGCAGCCCACCCCTCTAAATCATCTCCCTCCATTCTCCCTCCCCCAGAGATTTGTAGAAATCAGGCTCTAGACTAAACACATCGCAAACCAGCAGCCACTCTGGTGGGGAGCTTTTTGGCTACTTTTAGAGCACCCGATGCCAGGGAGGGAATTCCCAGGGTTATCTTCTACCACCCTGGATCTGCACACAGTGGTAAGCAGGTAAGTGTGTGGAATGAAGTGTGCTGTTTGCGGTTGAATATAGGCTTCTCCTGTAGAACGTAATGCTCGCGTCAGAAGGAGGGGGTAGGCTTCATGGCTGTTGTTTTTAAGCAAGCCTAGGCACTCTGAGCAGGGTTGAGTGCTGACTAGGATGCACTGCAGGACAGTGCTTTCTGCTCGATTTCACAGTGGCCACCCTGGAATTCCGATCCTCTCTTTCTTTTTAAATTCTTTCATTTCACGCCAGTTCTTCCCTCATCGTTCTCAGCGGTCTCAAGTGATGAGGAGAATGGTTAAACGAAGACCCTGGCTAGTGCAGACACCGTCCAGATACTTGATCACATGTTGGTCAGACAGCTCGGCTCTTTGAATGTCCCCAACACATGGCAGTTCTTGTCCTGGAGCCAAATGCCCGCACCGTGAGCATGCCCACACGCACCCGCGCGCACACTACTGTGGGGCCAGATGGCAGACCGTGTCCCTAATCAAAGGCACACGGGCAGCTGCGATTGGCACTGGTTGTCCAGAGAGAAGTGTGGATGGGATTTTAAGTCAAGGTGAGCTGAGAGGGTCTGCAGTGTCACTGGGTCTGAGACCTGGCCCTAAAGGAGAGCTCACCCCACGGCAAACCCATCACATCCCAACTCACAGACCCAGGAGGAGGGGGAGCAGGTGAAGGTTTGGAGACATGAGTATTTGATTCGGAAAGAGGTGAGATTGGAGTCAGTCTCAGCAATCGGTTGTGAAAGCATCCTTGCATGCAGGAGTAGAGTCCTGGTGCCAGATGGGGCAGTCCAGGATTTGTCCCTCCCCTTCTCCCAGACTCTGGACTCTACAGAACTTGTGGTTACAAATTCTGGCCTTGAACCATCCAGAAGGTTGCAGGGCAGAAACCAAGGATGTTGACAGGGGTGCTGCTGACAGGGCTGGAGGTTTAATCCATGGAGTGGGGTCCTCTGGCTGTGGCCCTGGGTGCCTGGTGCCCGAGGGGAAGGCGTGTGAGAGCCCCTCACCGGTTTCCCTGACAGCACGCTTCTGCGATGGAGAAGCCCTAGCCATCACGTCCCACCTTTGTCCCCTGCCGGCCGTCCCCATCACCCTCTGGTGGCTTCCTAACCCCCACCATCACTGTCCCACATGCTGTCCTGATGCCTTTTGAAGGATCAGCTTCATACCCTTTGTACCATGTTTGCTTAACTTCCAAATAGAGCCCCACCCATCCCTCTTAAAATGCTTCTTGCTTCTCTCTTCCCTCTCACAAATACCTTCACATCCATGCCAGACACTGGAAAGAGAGAAGTAAGGAGAAGTAAATGACGTGGAGAACTGAACTTGGGGAAAAACAAAGGCTGTGGGGCTCCAGGATTTGCAAGGAGAATAAAAGAAATGGTCTCCTGCAGCAGAGGGAAAGGAAGGAGCTGGGGCATTTGCAAGGTATCTGCCGAGAGCCAGGCCTGAGAGGGTAGATGTGAAGAGTGCGGAGGGAAATGATAGAAATAGACTCAGAGGGGTTAAGTAAGTTGTACAAAGTCCCACAGCTAGTAAAAGGGCAGAGGCAGGATTTGAGTCCGGGTATGGCCAGCACTGTTGCTCCTGCTCTCATAAGCTGTACTGACTGCCTCTCAGCAAGACAGTCATTTAAAAGACAAAAACCAAAAACTAAGATTAGGCATGAGTCCCATTTTCCCTTTATTTTATGGGAAAGTTTTTAAAGGGGGAGCTTCTAATGTGCATGTGTGAGGGAGTTTGAAAGAGCTTCATATTCCAGCTCTGGGACAACCCAGCTGTTTATAAAATTCCTCCCAAGGGTCTGGCCTGCCGTGGCCTCTTCATGAGGCAGAAAGGGCCTGGTGTGTATCTGTTAGTGTACTCTGCAGATGGCATGCGTGCTGCATGCTAAAGTTTCTGCTGGGGGAGTAATCAGCTCCTCCAGACAGCTGGTCCATGTGTCTGATCATATTTACAAGTCGGGTTTTAGGATACCCACAGGCCACGACCAGGATAAATCTTGATTATGGAAGTGTGGGCAGTGTTCAGAAGCAAGTGCCAAACACAGGTATTTGGGGACTGTAAGGGACAGTTGTTTTTCAACACAGTTGTGGGTTTCCCATCTAAGGGCACACTGAAATGTCTGTCACCATCCCCCCTGCCCCGGGTGGATGTGGTGACATTTCCCAGGGCACAAGTAGAATTGAAATTTGGACATGTGTTAAACAGCCCTTCCCGTGTTCCTTTCCTCCTACCACCCCCTACCCCGCTGGACGGTAAGCAGAAGCCCATGTCAGGGAGAAGGTCAAGACCAGGGTCAAAGCCTGCGAGGGTGGTCCTCTGCCAACAGCCTTCTGGAGGCAACTCGAAATGATTTGGTATTGGTCTCTAGTACCTGTACGCTCCCTCCATCACAGCTGATCTTCTGTAGTCAAAAATATATTGCTAAATTCTGTCCACTCAGGATCTCTGAGTAATGCCAGCATTAATTATGTGAATGCCTTGTCTGGGAAAGGGACTTTGCTAAGAGCTATTGATCTAGGGAAGCCTGAGACTGCACTGGGGAGGTCTGCAAGTGTGCAGAGAGACACACAGGAGCCGCGCCGAAGCCACATAAAACCATCGCCTGGGGCCTTGGCCAAGTTAGTTAATTTTTCCATACCTCAGTTTGCTGATCTGTAAAGTGAAGATATATTTTACCTGCTTTGTGCTTTAATTTTTGCCAGGATAACTAAAAACAGTACATGTAAAGTGTTTAGCACATGCCCAGAACATGGCAGGTGGTAAATAAATAGTCCTGTTATTATGTCCTGTACAAGACAGTCCTTGGGAAATAAACACATGCAAGAATGGACGGTAGACACAATGGAAAGGCTCAAACACTCTGCTGGAAAGGGAGAGAGGAAGCAAAGATAATTCCCAGGTAGTCAAATGCAAGTATCATGAGAATGGAATTGCCAGCAATAGAAATGAGGGAGTCCAGAAGGAAGAGCTCTTTTTCAGAGAAAGAGGGTGAGTTTGGTTTTGGGTTTGCTGAGCTTGAGGTGGTTGTGGTGGTATGTCCCAGTGCAGTGACCAAGCCCTCCCTGGGTACCACTGCCATGGGTCCTCACCTCCCAGCGCCTCCCTCCACTCCTCTCCTCTCCGCTCACACTGGCCTCTCACCCCCACCTGCACAGTCGCCTGAGGTCCACCCTCAGCCACCTCCCTACCCCAGCATCAGCAGAGCTAGGCTAGCCCCAGCCCCGCCTGTGCCTTGGCGCCTGAGGCTCTGCTGTCTGTCTGTCCTCACACGTCCACACCTTGCCTCCTCCCATAACCACCAGCACGGGCGCTGTCACCAGACCTTGCTTTCCAAGACTCCCAGCCCCTCCAACCATCAGTTCCTTCAGAGCTCACGCAGACAGGAAGCAGTGGGAAAATTCTTGATCAACTCCATTTTCTTCTTCATAAGCTTTCAGGAAGCTCAGCACTGACTAGTTTTGATTTAAACCTTAAGCCAAAGATTTAGCTTGTGGATAAGAACAACTTGCTTTTGTGGACACTTATTTTTTATTGAGCCATAACATACATACAATAAAATGAGTAGATCTGAAGTCTACAACTCAGTAAGTTTTTACGCATTCATCTGCCCCTGAAACTACCTGCAGATGAAGACACAGAACACCACCAGCACCCCAGAAGCCCACCTTGTGCCCCATCCAGCCACTAGCCGCCTGAGCAGGTAGCCACGGTGCCCACCTCTGTCAGCAGAGATTCCTTCCACTGGTGATGGAACTTCATATAAACCAGTCATAGAGTCTTCCTCCCCCATGTCTGGCTTCTTTCCCACCATTATGTCTGTGAGGTTCATCCATGTTGCTGCACGTACCAGTTCTTTCCCTTTTATGACTGAGCCATATTCCCCTCTACAGATACATCAGTTTCTCTCTTCTACTGGTATTTCTGATTTGGGGCCATTATGAATGAGGCTGCCGTGGTGGTAGACAGAGGTCCTCCTATCTCTTGGATATATGCCAGGAATAAAACTGTTAGGGACGCCTGGGTGGCACAGTCGATTAAGCATCCGACT